CAAGCTAAAATAATCGTATATGGACATGTGAAATCATGGTTTGATTTTTAAGCTTTAATTATATTAATAATTGATCAGTGTCGTGTCTGTCAAGTTTCTGTTTTGTGTGCACGATTTATGTCTTGTCTTTCCTGTTTTATTTTGAAGTCATTTCACCAGTTGTTTTTGTTCAGCTTTACTTCCTGAACCTGTCTTGTCTCACCTGTTCCCTGATTACCTCCTCGCACCTGTTTCCCATCTACCCTCATTACCTCGTGTATATTACCCTGTGTGTCTCACTGTCTCGTCGCCAGTTCGTTGCACTTCACGGTCCTCGTACCAGTGTTTCCAAGTCAAGTCATAGTCTGTTTGTTCGCGACCTCGTTTCTGGTTTTTGGACCTTGCCTTTTGCCTCTCGATTGTTGGATGCCTCTGCCTGATCTGACTGACCTTCTGTGTACCAAACCCTAAACGGTAATAAACCTGCCTTTTTGCCTGAACCTCCTCTGTGTCGAGCATTTGCGTCCACCTGCCTGTCATTAGTGAGTTCTTGACATCAGATGTATTTAGTGCTGTTCTTACTAAAGGAGTAACCCAAAGCGCATACACTGACAATTATTCATTCACACACATTCATTCCGGTGGTGGTAGCTCTGATTGTAGCCACAGCTGCCCTGGGGCAGACTGACAGAGGCGTGGCTGCCATTCTGCCCCTTCAACCACCACCTCAAACAATCCATTCATACGCATTCACACCAGGCTGGGTGGGTGAAGAGTCTTGCCCAAGGACACAACGACCATGACACAGGTTACAGGGCGGAATCGAACCCCTGATCATTGACCAACCCGCTCTACCACCTGAGCCACAGCCATCCTTTAGTAATTCATTCTTAAAAAGTGTAAGCTGAGCGTAAAATTTTACTTTCTAAAGTGATTATAGCTGCCAACACAATGCAGTATAAAGTACAGGAAGTATACAGTATGCTAATAATGTTTGTCCTCCGTAACAAATAAACTACAACATCGTCTGCGTAAAACTTTAGAATGACCCACATGACCAAAGTCATTGTTAAATCGGTACATTATATATTGTACTATAGTTTTCTTTAAAAATTCCACACGTTTCACAAAAGTGTAAAGGCAATGTTATTCAACAGGTTTGCAAAAAACAGAGTACGTTTTCTGGACTTTGGTGTCGACAGTATTTTTTTTTCCCACACTGTTTTATGTAATAATAACACGTACAACTGAGAGTGAGTCATGTAGGTGCTGGAGATGAACACAACAGGTAGGCGGAGAGACAGACGGAGGGAGGAAGTGGTGAAGATGCTCTACAGTCGCTGCAGCACTTTGCTTCTCATTTGACCACAGTCAGTCTGCCACAGAGCTCGTATCACGGTGTATCAGCGGAGCTTCACTGACCGGCACTGACGACCGACCCACACCGCCATGTTCATTAAGGTAAGAATCCCCTCTTCCTCCCTTCTGCCTCCTTTGTTATAAATGCCAACTAGACCTGACTTCTATTTCTGTATCTGTATGTGATACTCTCATCTCTCTCTCTCTCAGTGTGTTATTGGTTTTATTTTTACCTCCCGTTCTGAGCGTTATCAGACGCCTTTAAAGGCAGTTTAAGTGTCGCCAAAGGGGGAAGATGAGCGGATGATGGTATCACAAGAGGAAACCAGCTCCACTTCCCTTCACGCAGCAGAGAAAGAAAGTAAAATGTCTGCAGCCGTGCTGGGAAGGGGGTTGTCGTCGTTTACATGCATGCAAAAGAGCTGCAGTGTTGAGGGTGCAGGTTTAAACATTCACCGGCCTTCACATGAGTTACATAAAGGCCCATTCTGTATGTCCAGTATATACCCAGCTACTACTAGTGTGTCTGACTCAATAGTTTTGGTGTAAATTCTGCTTTTAATAAAGTTCTACTGTTGAGTTTCTGTTGAGATTCTGTTGACTAAACCGTGTGGTGAGTGTGGAGGATGTAGGCAGTGGTGCTGCTGGACTGTATTGCAACATACGGAAATATGTCTAGACTTCATTAAAATGACAGACTTCATTATGATGAGATATACGAACTTTTCTGTACGTTGATGGACGGCACAAGTATTTATTCTTATATTAACAGCACTTACTACGTTAAGTGTTGAGGGAATTCCACTGAGATTGTTATTATTACTAAAGATACGTCTGTACTGATGAACATATATATATCATTTTGAATTTCTTGGCTCCCAGAAGAGGTTTCCAAATTGCTTTTGTGATCCCATAACCTTCCCGTGAACACCATTGCAAGTCTTTACTTACAGTACATCTCAAAATCAAATCGGTGGATTGGCATCAAGAGTGGCACAAACATTCTTGGTTTCCAGAGGATGTACCTTACTGACGTTACTGATCTCTGGACTTTGCCCGTACTGACACCATGTGGTTGACATTTTTGGTGCTTAGTTACAACGTTAATCCTATTTCTTTTATTGGAAACTACTGCACAGTAATGTGCCACAAAATTTGCTACAAATATTCCTGGTTTCCAGAAGACGTATCCTAACTGTTGTGGTGATCCCTTCACCTTTCGCTGAGTGCCAAAACCAGTCAAAGTTTTCACTTATAGTACATCTCAAAATCAAATCGATGGATTGACAACAAGAGTGATGCAAACATTCTTGGTTCCCAGAGGATGTACCTTACTGGCTTTAGCAATCTCTTGACTTTTCCTTTACTGCCACCATGAGGTTGGCATTTTTTATGTTTACTACTAGTTGTAACATTAATCTAATCTCTGTTAGAAAGCACTTTGAGACAACATCTGTTCTCAAAATCAAATTGGTGGCTTGGAATTAGGAGTGACACAAACCTTCTTGGTTCCCAGAGGATGTACCTTACTGACTTCAATGATCTCCATATTTTCCCTGTACTGACACCATGTGGTTGACATTTTTGGTGCTTAGTTGCAACGTTAATCCTATTTCTCTATTGGAAACTACGGCACAGTAATGTGCCACAAAATTTGCTACAAATATTCCTGGTTTCCAGAAGACATATCCTAACTGTTTTGGTGATCCCTTCACCTTTCCCTGAGTGCCAAAACCAGTCAAAGTTTTCACTTACAGTACATCTCAAAATCAAATCGATGGTTTGACAACAAGAGTGACGCAAACATTCTTGGTCCCCAGAGAATATGTCATATTGGCTTTAGCAATCTCTTGGCTTTTCCTGTACTGCCACCATGAGGTTGGCATTTTTGGTGCTCACTAGAAGTTGTAAAGTTGATCTAATTTGTCTGTTGGAAACAATTTGGGTCAACATCTGTTCTCAAAATCAAATTGGTATGTTGGCACTAAGAGTGGCACAAACATTCTTGGTTCCCAGAGGATAATCCTACTGACTTTAGTGATCTTTCCCTGTACTGCCACCATGAGGTTGACTTTTTTCATGCTTGGTTGAAGCATTATCTCATTATTCTCATTGTCACTTGGGGACAATTCATGGAGGTCCGACCCAAAGGACCTACCGCCAACATCCCGATGCCCGACACCACCAGAAGTCCAGTGTCTCTTTTGGCAGCAAGAGATGGACTGATGCAACATTTGGAAGGTGGTTTTGACATTCAACATGGCTGATTAGTGGAAAGATGACATCAGGTGAAACACCTTGGCATCATAAAAGTGCTGTGACATTTGCTACACAAATTCATGCCCCTATCGGGATGAATTTTTAACCACCTTTACGATTCCACAGTTATTCATCTCACCACGTCAGATGTAGATTTCACACGTTTTATGTTTCCGATAGCAACAAAGATGTGTTGTGTTGGAGAAATACCAAAGCTGGAGATCTGTTTAGGAAACTGTGAGTATGAATTTGAGTCGTGAGAATATGCAGACAAGCCTTCAGTTTCTGTGTGAGTCCCAGTACAATGCACTTCTACAGACACAACTAAACACAAAGTAGTTGTCAGTGGTTGAATAGTGCCGACCACAAGTAGGACAACAGCCAAAGCTTTTTTTGTGTACACATTTTATTTATTATTAGCTCTTTTAATCAGCAATTAGGCAGACGACTGAATTTATATTTGTCCTCGCTCTGAATGGAAACCCATGCATCTAATCTCTCTAACTAGACAGAACACAAATTCATGCAAATGAATTCATGTGTTGCCCACACTGTGCTGTTACATCACTCAGCGTGTTTTCAATATGTAAAGCGTTGCAGAGGAAACCTAAAACGATCCGGCAAACACTCCATGTACACGTAATTAACCCCTTTCACCGCCCGGACCTTTGGGTCATTCTTTCAAAAGAACTAATCTTCAGAAAGTCTCTTGATCTGTTCAGCCTCTAATTCAAATATGCAAACAACCCGGAGAACTGCAAGGCAGATCTCTGAAAAACAAGCATTCTCGCCATGACCCCTCATCTAACAGTTTCATTCCCCCCCACCCCCCCAGTCAGACCACAATACCACATCCTGAAGCAGTACTTAAAATAAACAGCGGCTCGTCTGTTAGGATCTGTGCTGGATTTTGCAAGTTTGTTTGTGACACGAAAAGATGTTGGGGTTTTTTTTTTTTTAGAAGAAATGTAAGTTGTTGTGTTTTATGCAGAAATGATCACAACACAAATGAACAAACTGTTGCTAGAAGTTGTCTAAGTCTGAAAATTCTTTATGCACAACATTAAACCCGCCTGCATGTGTTGTGTGGATCCTCTTTGTGCAACCAAAGCAGCTCTGATGAACCGAGGCCTGGACACTGGACCGGGGAGGTTATAAGGTAGAAGCTCACCACCAAAAGAATCGTGACTAGAAATTCATGGGTGGATTCTGTAACGCCAAAGATGGTGGTTGTATGACACATGGCCCAATCCTTTCCCCAGAAAAACAGATCATCTGCTTTGCAATAACCACAGCAGGAAACATCCAAAAGATTGTGTTGTTTCACTGACGCAAGCACGGTGTCGTGAAACTGTGTACAGCCTATGGGTTGTAGAAACATAGCATGTAGGGAAAAACTGGGGATAGACTTTGTTAATTTGATTTTAAGTTTAACTCCTATTTGGCTGAAACCAGTTGTTACATGGTGGATTTTTTAAAAAGACACTTTCTCCCATTGAGTCCAATAGGATATAATGTAGTTACAGAGGAAAGGTTACAGTTTCCTCACATATATGGATCTTTTTTGATATATATTTTAATTTAAAAAAAGATGCCAACAGGTTTTAAATATGTAATAATGAGTGTATAAACCCTTGTAGAACTGCTTCCATGCTCCTGAAAGATGTTAAAATATGTTCATGGGCCATTGAGAAACCCAGTTTGGGTTAAATCTTATATGCTGTAATGAGCCGAGCTGCAAATGCATGACAGGAGTAAATGTTCTCAGTTTAGTGAACAAGCCTTGCTTTGTGTGTGCTGTTACTTGTTTCTTTTTTTGGGAAGTTCAGGCTCACATAAGTGAGAAAGTGGCATGTACTGTTATAAAACAGAAGGATTTGGTACGTAATGGTTTTTCAATCCTTCTTAATTGGGATCAAGGGTTGTTGTGAAGGATTCTGGAGTTAAAGACTCAAACAAACACCAAAGAACCCTCAGAACTTTACAGTAACCCTGACAGGAAGGTCTGCACATGTCCAGACTCTGCTGAAGCACATGGAGTACTTAAGCTGAAGTGGAAGACTAACAGGGTTTTTCTTTTTTGAAGTTTCGGAGACTCTTGTAAGTCCTGAGCTGCTAAAGCAACTTGAGCAGTCAGTCGTATCCGTGCAGTTTTTCACCAGCTGATGTGTTTTGCATTGATATTTATGCAAATACAACCCACTGTGTAACTCCTCTTCTCTTTACCTCATCCTCAGGAGCGGCGTACCTGGAAAATGCAGTTCCTCTGAAGCCCGTTCAGGGTCAATCACTGCATCTGTCCGTTGGTCACTGAGGGGAAAAAAGGAACCTAACCAGCCTCGGAGTTGGAGGAAGGACGGCCGAGCTTCCCTCTCATCAACTTCTCTGTTTCCCAAAAGATGTCAACAGCCACCGTCGACAGCGTAGGAAGAGGAACCAAAACCTCTAAAGCGTCAAAGGATCACAAAAAGGTAGGCGGACGTCATTATTCATTATTCATCATTCACTTCTTTACAAACAGGGAGAGACCTGAAACATCCTCTGTTTGGAGGAAAGCTGCACCCACCACTTCTGCACACTCATAGCTGATAACAAAACTGAAAATGATTGTGTTCAAAACAAAAGTGGTCTCTAGCATCACAGAGTGTCTCAGGTGATGTGTGTCAGTTGTCTGACAGAATAATACCAATAAAACCTTTCTACCACATGTTTCATAATCGATTAGATTTAAAGTAATTTAATATAATAATGAAGAGGTTTTTATTTTTATTTTTATTATGTTGTCCTCCCAGGGTTTTCATCACTTATTCAGTGCAGCAGAACAAATGAAATATACTCGCAACTTTTT